GGGGGCGGCCTGGCCGAGCTCTGGGTGAGGGGGGTCTGAGGGGGGGAGTAGTGCGGGGGCGGGGTTCTGCACAAGCCCGGAGGAGGTGGGGAACAAGTGGGAGGGGTGTCTCGTGTGTGGGGGGGAAGCAAGGGCGTACGGGTGGGAGCCCCAGCCAGGGTGAGAGAGGCTCTACCCACGCTGGGGTTGGTGAGGATGGGGACCCTAGCTAACTGCCAGAGGGAATCATGGCGTTTCTCCTCAGTCTGTCTACTGTCTTGGGAGGGCAGAGTTGTTGCTTTCGTGGTAAAAGGTGATTTAAATGGGTGTCTCGTGTGTGGGGGGGAAGCAAGGGCGTACGGGTGGGAGCCCCAGCCAGGGTGAGAGAGGCTCTACCCACGCTGGGGTTGGTGAGGATGGGGACCCTAGCTAACTGCCAGAGGGAATCATGGCGTTTCTCCTCAGTCTGTCTACTGTCTTGGGAGGGCAGAGTTGTTGCTTTCGTGGTAAAAGGTGATTTAAATTCAGATTAATTCAGTTTGTTTTAGCTCCTAGGCAGATCTGCGTGTGGGTGGTGGTCCATACAGTGGAAGGTTTTGTCTGTTGCTTTTGAGCTGCTAAAAGAGATAAGGAGAGAGGAAAGCCATTATTGTGGGAAAGCCCCTTTCTGTGCTAATAGCTTCCCCTCCAAGATTATCCCTTCCCAGGAAAGAGAGGCTCACCCTCTGTCTAGAAACAGCCTGCTCTGGTCTGCTGTTCCTTTCCTGTCCCTGCTGTCTGTTCTGAGCTACCAGTTCCTCCAGGGTATGGGGGAGGAGGTGTTTGACCTGCATTTTCTGCTTTCTCATGGTGCCTGTATAGTCTGTTCACTAATAAACCTCTCCTTTTCTTGCCTTGTGCTGGAGGCTGCAGCAGGGATTTTCCTGCATTTGGTTGTATGTCCTGTGTTTCCTGCTGTGTGGATTCCGAGCCTCCCAACCTGGCTGTTTAGGCTCAGGACCGAACTAAAACACAGTTCCTGTTTTTAATACCATACAGCTGTGACAAGGTCACCTGTGTCTCCAGCAGCATCGTCCTTGGATGCCAATGGCCTACTGTTCAAACAGAGGTCCTTTGTTGTATGTCATATGTCTTGTAAAATGTTGGGCTAAGCTGGAAAGTGACTGGGAAAAACTTCACATTCCTTATTCCTGATCCTGACAGAAGGAAGGAACTTAGATGTGGTTTGATTCTCTACTAAAATGGGATTTTCAACAGGCAGCAGATGGTCTGTTTTGCAAAGAGGTACTGGGATTTTATTGTATAGTGATTAAAATATGCCATTGGGATTCTTCCAGCTTTCGGCGGAGGCTAGTTCTGCTTTAAGGAAGTAATAGCTCTTTGCAGGCCTTTCAGTGGCCTCCTGCAATCTCTCTGGCCCATTATGTAATTGGACTGTTTAAGGTTCACTCAGGCAGAGGTTATGGGCAAGGGAGAGGGAATTAATATCTGTGGGGGAGGGGATTATGGCTGCAAGTCATTATTTTGGTAACATTTTTAAAAAAAAAATCCAAATGGACACACTGCAGGTGCTTCTGTTAAAAAGCAAAATATAAGGTTAGATAAAGAGTTCAGTATTTCCTTAAGAGGGAGTAGAAGTTTCCCTTTTTCACCTATGAAGGAGGCACTAGGAATTTTTCTGTAACTGGCCCAGGAAGTCATTTTGTTCCCAGCCTTCTGGTTTGAAGCACAGAGGTGAAGGAAGGCAGGAGGGTGTTGCTTTGGATCCTGTGGGTAAGTGTTCAAGGCAGTGACAGCAGCTGCATTTGGCTCCAGAGCTCTGGTTGCTACGTGAGAAGCTTTAGTAGTGTTGGCTGCTGTCTCCAGGGAAGGACAGTAGAGCAGCCTCCATTAGTGCTGTGTTTAGGAGATGGCTGGTTCCTGCTCAGAGAAAGGTTTTCACTTTTATATTTCCACAGCTTTGAGGCAGACGTGTGTAAATCTTACTCCAGTTCGATAAACCTGTATGCTGTATTTAATTGCACTAGGATGTGGCTGGAAACCCCGAGCTGGCCTTTTGTTTTCATTCTGCCCAAAACTAGTTTACACTGTTGCTGAAGCTGTACTGGTCTTAGGATATGAGAGACACTAGGTGTATGAAGCAATATCTTTTATTTCACCATTAGAAGTTGGTCTGATAAGAGCCAAGCTTTTGTGCTCCACAGAATTGAGAAGTTCTGTGAAGCTTGCAACTTGTCTAGTAAAAGGCATTACCTCACCCCTCTTGTCTTTTTGTGCAGAATTAGGACAGTAAGACTTGTTATGATTTTCCTAGAGCAAGAGAGGCAGTTGCAATCTCAGACCTGGGACTGCAGTCTACCTCTGAATGGAGTCTCCTTTCCAGTTAGTCATACAGCCAGATGCTTTCCTTATTGTTCCTATGTCTCCTTCCTCCCCTTCCATCGGCTGGGCCCCATTTGCCTTACTGACTGGAATTTCTGCTGTGTGCAGTGAGCTGCCTACACCAGCCTGCTAGTGCTAAGAGGGAATTTTTCATTCACAGAGTATAGAACAGTCAAAATAGTGGCCCAGCTCAACTTGCAACTTGCAACAAAACAGAGGCTAAAGAAGTTTCCCTGTTTTGCTGCACCTGCAGAGCAAAATGTACGGCATATAGCCTCTTCTGCAGTTGGATGCCTACCAAAGGATGTAGGAAATACCTTCTTTCTGTTGGTGAGCCATTTAGCCTGTTGTATGTGTACTGAAATGTATGGCAAATACTATCTCTGCAGACAGGTCCCTCTGCTTCCAACATTTAGTGTAGCAACTGTTTGCAAGATCTATGGTGAAAGGCCATTTTTGCCATGACTGTATTGTATGAAGAGCAGCTGGCAGGCATCACACTGCAGTGGACTTTAAATGGCTTTAATAGAGATTTCCTTTTTAGGAGAAATAATTGACTTTTTAAGAACTATCTAAATCTAACTTAAAAACCAATGAATGGTCTGGTAGCACTTTATAGACTAACAAAACATGTAGATGGGATCATGAGCTATCGCGGGCACAGCCCACTTCTTCAGAAACAGTGGGCTGTGCCCGCAATAGCTCATGATACCGTCTCCATGTTTCGTTAGTCTTTAAAGTGCTACCGGACCATTCGTTGTTTAAGTTTATCCTGTACAGCAGGGGTTTCCAACCTTTTTACACCCAAGATCACTTTTTAAATGACAGAACAACCCAAGATCTACTGCATTGCCCCTTCCTTGAAGCCCCGCCCTCTCTATTCTCCTCCTCTCCATCACTTGCTATCCCCAACTCTTATACCGCTGCTTTTTTTTTTTATCCAATTCTTCTGTAGAATGAGGTTTTCCCAACATCTGGCCTGCCTAGACTGGACCAAATGACAGGAAAAACCCCTTCTTTCAGAAGCCCCCTTATTCCTCGTGGAAATAGGAATATAGGGTGACTGAAAGAGCTTGTTTGCTCTTCCACTTAAAAAAACGGAAGAACAAACGCATCCCTGGGTGCAGAAGAGTTTTTCTGGGATATCTCTGGAATCCTGAAAAACTCCTGCAGTCTAGCCGGACCCTTGCTGGGTTGAGACAGGATGTGTAGGCTCCGGGGTGGGAATGAGGGATTTGGCGGTGGGAAGGGGTGAGAGTTGCAAGCTCTGGGAGGCAGTCTGGATGCAGGAAGAGGTGGAGAAGGGGACGCTGGCTCGGGGAGGGGGCTCCAGGCCGGGCAGTGTCGGGGTCAGATGGAGGGTTGGGGTAGGGAGGGGGGGGAGAAGGGGACACGGGCTCGGGGAGGGGGCTCCGGGCTGGGCAGTGTTGGGATAATAAGCAAGCCACAGGCTTGTGGATGTGAGGGTACAGAAATTTGGGTTAGTGTATGTGAGGGGCTCAGGGCAAGGGGTTCCAGTGTATGATAGGCTCAGATCTAGGGTCTGGGGGAAGGGAGGGAGTGCAAGAGTGTTCTGATGTTGTCGCCAGATGGGGGCTTGGCCCCAATAGGGGGTTTGTTGGCCAGACTTCATTTTTAAATAAAATACTGTGTCAAACACACAAAGTTTCTGCATTGTCTTTATTTCTGAGAAGGGCAGGGGACCTGTTTGGAGTCAGGGGTCACTGACTCACTGAAAAGTCAGTTGGGGTCGCACAAGAGTTGCAAAAAAACCAAAACTCCTTCAACCCCCCCTCCCCCGCAAGCCTCTGGTGGGAGCAGGGGACATGATACTGGGGAAGAGTGCTAGTGGGTGCTGGGGCAGGGGACAGGGTGCGAGTGGGGGCAGGGTTCTGTGGCTGGGGAGATGGAACAGGGTGCTGGGAGGGCAGGGGACAAGTTTCTACAGCAGGGGGCCAGGGGGGCATAGAGTTCCCTGCACCAGTCTCCTTCCAGGATTCCACCCCCCCCTCCCAAAGAGGAGGGAAGCCCTGTTGCATGCCTCCTCCAGGCCCGACTCCTCCCTCCCGCAGAGCAGAGAAGCCCGCGCACGTGCCCCCTTGGAGCCGACCTACCCCCCGTTCCTGCGGAGAAAGGAAGCCCTGTTGCACGCCTCCCCCTGGGGACTCCTTCCCCATTCCCCGAAGAGGAGAGAAGCTCCGGCATGTGCCTCCTCTGGGGACTCCTAACTTCCCCCCTGCCCCCTGAGGTGGGAAGTCCCAGCACGTGACTTCCCCCGGGACTCCTACCTCCTCCCCCTGCGCAGCAACTCCCCGGCATGCCACAGACCTGGAGGAGGGGAGCAGGCAGCGCACTTCCGGAAACCCCGGAAGTGGCATGCAGCTGCCTGACTTCTGTCCACCCTGAGGGAAGCCGGCACTACCTCCATTTGTCACTGGAGGTAGGTAGTGGGGCTGCTGGGGGGGGAGGGGGAGGCACAGAATGATTTGTGATCGACTGGTCGATCCCTCCCAATTGACCAGTCGATCGCGATTGATGGGTTGGTGACCATGGCTGTACAGACTAACTCGGCTATCCCTCTGAAGCTATCTAAATCTGCATTTTTGAGATGCGTCTTATGTTGGACATTGGCCGTACCATGTTGACTTGAGATAAAAACATACCTCCAATTAAAAATCTATTTCAAAAAGTAGTATATATGTAAACTTGAAATTTGTATAATTTATGGTTTAAAAAAAAAAGATAAAGCAATAATGTAAAGCTTGAGTACCCCAGTGTTTGAAAACTGTCATGGTCTTTGCAAACACCTGTCTGGTTTGTGCTAGGAAAATCTAACTACCAGGCTTTTTTCCTAAAATATCAAAGTGTGTAGTTTTCTGATTAACTATACACTTCATCTGAAATGTTCGTTATAAATTTGCTTGACTATCAAAGACCATTTCTTGTTCTAAAACATTTAATTGCTTAACATTTTATATTTGAGATGTAGCTTCTGCAGTATTTTAGAAAGTAATGTAAGAGTAATCTGTGCACACACATTGAAATGCAGCCACCTTGGGGGTGGAACATGGCCGTTATTCAATAGTACACTAACTGGGCAGCAATAATTGCCCAATTGAGAATTTGGCCAAGGTACCAGGGCATTCTCATTTGTATAACAAATATGACAGAATTTTCAGTAGTTGCAAGTCAGGCTTTATTTTGCAGTGCCCCCTCTCCTCCCCCCCCCACTTTTTATAC